CAGTCCAGCTCCTCATTTCACCCACCTCGGAAGGATGGAAGGCTGAGTCAACCTTGAGCCGGTGAGATTAGAACCGCTGAACTGCAGTCAGCTGACATAGCCTGCAGTGCTGCATTTAACCACTGTGCCACCTTGGCTCATTGAAGGGAGATTCTCCAGGCGGGCGAATATGCCTTCTGGAATTCTCCATCCTGCGTTTCGGCATTGCAGAACATTCCGGGGGGTTTCAAGGGAGACTCTAGGTGGGCTGTTAGGAACTTGGTGCCTCAGTGGCTAAGACGCTGAGTTTGTCGATCAGAAAGGTTGGCAGTTCAGCAGTTCGAATCCTGAGTGCCGCATAACGGAGGGAGCTCCCGTGACTTGTCCCGGCTTCTACCAACCTAGCACGTTCAAAAGCATGTTAAAAAATGCAAGTAGGTAAATAGGAACCACCTTTGGTGGGAAGGGAAGAGTGTTCATTGCACCTTTCACCCGAACCCCCATAGTGCGGATCCTCCCCAAAGCAATTCAGGGGTGCTGGCATTGCCCGCCCATTCAGACATTCACCTGGTCCATCTGGGTTTGCGGCTGCGCTTCTGCCTCACGTTAAAATGTCGGAACCTCGAAACCCACCTACCCCGTCTCCGTTTCCCGCCTCACTGACGCTGCCGTTGGGAAGGAATCCAGATTCAATCCAGATTCAGGGCGATTGGGGGGACGATGCACTGGGTCCCTGGCATCCTGGCTGTGCAGAGGAATCGCTTTTCCTGCAGCGTTGCATGCTGGCTGCTCCCCTAAATCAGGCGTCATCACCACCCCACAGGGGCCTTTCTTTTCCAATGTGCTGTTCCTGTGCCCAATTGGCAACTTTGGGGAAGGAGCAACGGATTGCTCGTTTGGCCCCCAAAAAGGGAGTAGGGAAAATGTTGGAGGTGGGCGAAGGTCTGGAGAGAGGAGGAGGATTCTGACCCAGAGAAGAGATTGGGGGTGGGGGTGGTGTCTGTAGAATTCCTCTTGTTTGGCCACCCAGATGAAACAATTTTAGCTATGAGCCAGCAGTGGGATGCAGCTGCCAGAAAAGCTAATGCAATCCTGCCTGAATGGAAGGAAGGAGTCAAGATGTATTACTTTATACTGTCCTCACCACTCTTCAAAGAGAGTGTCCAGTCCTGGACACCACAATAGAAAGAGACGGTGAGACCTTAGAAAGAGCACAGAGAAGAGCAGCTAAGGTGATTGGGGATCTCTGGAGGTTAAATCGTAGCATGAACAATTGAGGAAGCTAGGACGCAGTGGCTCAGTGCCTAAGACATTGAACTTGTCGATCAGATAGGTGGGCAGTTCGAATCCTTAGCGCCGCGTAACGGAGGGAGCTCCCGTGACTTGTCCCAGCTTCTGCCAACCGAGCAGTTCGAAAGCACTTAAAAAATGCAAGTAGAGAAATAGGAACCACCTTTGGTGGGAAGGGAACAGCGTTCCGTGAGCCTTCAGCATTGAGTCATGCCGGCCACATGACCACAGAGACGTCTTCGGACAGTGCTGGCTCTTCGGCTTTGAAACAGAGATGAGCCCCCTAGAGTCGGGAACGACTAGCACAGATGTGCGAGGGGAACCTTCACCTTTACCTATGGTATGTCTATTCTAGCAAAGAGAAGGACTAGAGGCGACATGATAGCCGTTGAAGTCCACAAGTGTTAAAGTTGTGATGTTTGGAGGTTTATACCCTCCATCCAAAATCTGCCCTCGGGACGTGGCCCACTTAGGGGGAAGGTTTTTGCTGTGGCAAAGAAAGGCACCCTCTTCCCTCCCCTTGGAAATGCTGCTTTGCTTATGCCTGGTCACGCATCGCATGGCGTGTTGCATTTTTTTTGAACGGGGGGGCGGGGGGCTTTGTGTGCCAGATCCCACCAAAGCAAGCAGACGGGGGCCTCTAGATGGTCCATTGTGAAGAATGAAGACAGGCCCCCTGGGGAGATCTCCAAACTCGGTCAGTTTAAGACCTGTGGATTTCCAACACCCAAAATTGCTGCGTGGGCTTGGCTGGGGGATTCTGGGAGTTAAAAGTCCACAAGTCTTAAAAGCAGCCACGTTTGGAGACCCCCTGGCCTGCCTTAACACCTGACTGGACGGGGGGCGGGGGGGGGTTGATGGGAGGGAATGGAATCCCCTCCCCATTTGGAGAGCTATCGCCGTCTGCCGCTTCTGGCTGGGGGAGGGGCCCAGCTGCATTCCCACGGTCACCCCTGTTTTGGCCGCCCCCCCCCCCCCCCCCGCAGAAAGCAAAGTTTTTTTTTTCAAGCTAGGTTAATACGGGCGGGTCCCCCCCCCGAGGAGGGTCTTCTTTGTGTTAGAATGTGAGCAGTTTGGTGTCTTCTGACGTTGACTCGCTGTTTCGTTTTGTCCTGTGGTTCCCCCACAGCTTTGGAATGACGAGGTGGAAAAAGTAAGTAAATACCAATATTCTGGTATTTTGTTTTATTTTAAATCCAAAAACATCCATCTTTTCTTTTCCCGGAACCCCGGGGGGTGTTGCGTTCATGCAACAGGTTTACACACAGGCAATCCTCGACTTGCAACCATGAGCTGCTCGGGAGTCACGCTTTGGACGGCTGCTGAACGAATGGTTGCGAGACGAGGAATTCCAAGGCCACCAAAGTCCGTAGCCAAAAATGAAAATCCATGGCAATAAATGGTGTTCAGTTAACGAAATGCAGAAAAACAGTCCGGAAGGCTTCCTTGGGGCAGTGGGAGGATGGACGGATATATTTACAATATTTGGAATATTTACCATGGCGATTGTGCCGCCGTCATTCTGAGTGGGCTCCACCGTTGTGTTTTCCAGGCGGAGCACGAGCTTCGGCAGGCCCAGACCGAATTTGACCGACAGGCAGAAGTAACTCGGCTTCTCTTGGAAGGAATCAGTAGCACGCATGTGAGTTTCTAATTCATCCGTCAAATTTATTTGCCTGCCGTAAGGCTGCCCTAAGGGACGCGGTGGCTCTGTGGCCAAGACGCTGAGCTTGTCGATCAGGAAGGTCGGCAGTTCGGCGGTTTGAATCCCCAGGGCCGCGTAACGGAGTGAGCTCCCGTTGACTTGTCCCAGCTTCTGCCAACCTAGCCGTTCGAAATCAAGTTAAAAATGCAAGTAGGAAAAATAGGAGCCACCTTTGGTGGGAAGGGAAGAGCGTTACCAGCTTCGGTCCTCCCCCTTCACACTTGGCCAGATAAAGTTGCAGGAAGTCCTCAACTTATGACCACCATTGAGCCGCAAATTTCTGTTGCTAAATTGTAGGCTGAAATTTTGCTCCCCTTTGCAACCTTTCTTGGCACGGTTGTTAAATGAATCGCTGCAGCTGCTAAGTTGGTAACAAGACAAGATGGACCACTCCCCCTTTCTCTGTCCTTCGGCAGCCCCTCCGCCTGCTCCCCTGTTCCCATCTGAAGCCTCCCTTGGGGTCGATTGAGAAGGGGTGGGAAAAACCCCTTCCGTTTCCATCAGGGCTCTCTTGCAAAAAAAAAAAAAACACTTGAGGACTGGTTGCTTGGAACAGGCTGTTAATCTCCAGTTTTCAGCAAGAGATTCTCCTTCTCTCCTTCAGGTCAACCACCTCCGATGTCTTCACGAGTTTGCAGAAGCTCAGACCACCTACTTCGCCCAATGCTACCAATACATGTTGGATCTCCAGAAGCAGCTGAACAGGTAGCTGCTGTGTTTCCCCAAAAATAAGACAGGGCCTTATTTTTTCACACACACCCCTAAACAAGCGCTTGGCCTTATTTTCGGGGAGGTCTTATTGCAGTGTTTCTCAACCTTGGCAACTTGAAGATGTCTGGACTTCAGGTCCTAGAATTCCCCAGCCAGCGAATGCTGGCTGGGGAATTCTGGGAGTTGAAGTCCAGACATCTTCAAGTTGCCAAGGTTGAGAAACACTGTCTTATTGTTTTGGAGGTGCAGGAGACTTCGTCCACTTCGGCCCATGGATCAGCTGATCCACAGAGGGCCAAACTTTTCTGTTTCTCTGTTTCCAGCACACTCTTGCCAGCTTTAGCCTCGCTGGGCCTGCTGCTCTTTTTGCGGCCGCCACCAAGAGAAAGGGCGCAGTAGCGAGGGTTTGTGGGAGCGCGTGGGACATGTCCCCCCCCGCCCCCAAGGGACCGACTGCGTATGTGTTTAAATATTTTAGGGGAGGGCTTATTTTAGCGCAAAGCCCAATTGCCCTTATTATCTGGGGAAGTCTTACTTTTGGGGGAAGAGGGTGGGGTTATTTATGCTGTATTAAGGGGAGGATATTTATGGGAGGGGGGTGTCCCATGAAGGGCCAGATGCAGCCCACTTTAATGATCTCAGCACTTAAAACATTGGACGCGACGTAAAAGTTTTGGAGGGTAGTCAGAGCGGTTGATGGACAGTTTAAGACAGTGAGAACGACGAATCAGTGCAATGGGTGGAAGTTGGGGTGCTACACCCCTGGGAGGTTTAAGAAGAGCAATTGGACAGCTGTCTGGAACAGTCTAGGGTCTGTAGTTTGAGTAGGGGGTTGGATTGTAAGACCTCTGGAGGCCCATTCCGGTCCTATTATTGTGTTCTCTGTTCTGTTCCTATTTAAGCTCTGGAATTTCAGGGGATATATTTTTTTTCATTTGTCGTCTCTTGTTCTGTTCCCTCTCTGGCTTTCAGCTCCAGAGGAGAAATGTAAGTAACAAAAATAAAATTAAAAACCAGACTTCCCCACTCCCCCAGTGGTTTAATTTGTAATGGAAACCATTTCAGGGTTATCATCCTCCGAGTCAGTTTGTATCGTATCCAAAGCTGGTTTTTTTTTTTTTTTCTTTAAC